TTATAATCTTGAAGTAGTCCTCTAAAATAACTCTACTTCTTATCCTCATTTTACAGATGAAGAAACTGAGGCCTAGAGAGGTATTCAGGCCTTTGGGAGGCTTGCAAGAAATAATAATAACTAGCATGTATTGAACTGTTACTTATGAGTAAGGCACTGCTCTAAGTACTTTGTATGAATTAACTCATTTGATCCTTCCAACAAACCCATTTCACAGATGAAAACTACTGAGGTTAAGTAAAATGCATGCTCAAAAAGGACTTACTGGAATCAAAAGTATTTCGAAAAATAACAATTGATTACTACAGATGTGACTGGTTCTGCGGATCTGGAAATTGTTGAAGGGAAAGATGGCTATCAGAGAGCTTATGTCACTTGTCTGAGTCACACAAGGACAGATCCAGGATTTGAACTCAATGCCAAAGCTTGATGACACATACGGACTCTTCCTAAGATGCCCTGAACTGTCACAGTGTTTGAGCTCTTAGGGTATCGCATGCCACACCCCCCGTCTCCACGCTATGCTACCACATGGGCCCGTCTGCCCAACCCTAGAGACCCGGTGCTGCCCACAGGCTGATGACCACGGACCGCAGAAGCCCAGGCATGTATCCAGAGCCCTTCTTCCTCCCACGGGGCTCTACACAGCCTACCCTGCCCACAGGCCCCTGCGCCTCCTCACCCCACCCCCCAGAAACAAAAGAATCAATCCTGGTTCCTCTGAAGAGCATCTCCCTGGCCCCGAGACACAGACCTCGCCACCCTCTGTTGATGATACTTAGCACCACACTCAGACCACGGTGAGAGCACTGGCCTTCTCTCAGGAGACCACGGCGCTTGGCCCTGAAAGACCACGGTACCACCACGGCTATTTCCAGTTCATGGCTCTGGGCAGTTCTGTGGTTGCCTGAAGAGGTGTTCCAGCACCACCTGTTTATGTCTTGGAGGCCATGTGAGCACCTTTCCACGGGGCAGGTGAAGGGTCCTCTCGGAGCTGGTGCCAGGACACCTGCCTCCGCGGCTCAGGGAGGTACCGCCCTTGGCCTTGGAAGAGTTTTCAGAAGCCCATTTGCCTTTCAAAGTCCTCCCAGCCTATTGAGCTCATCCCAGCCTTGCCTGTCATCTCTTCACCCACCTCTCTCACCAGGAAGAGAGAACACAGTTATATCTATGCATAAAACCTAGAAGACCCTAGTGGAGGGAGAGGAGGGGAGTCCTCTGAGATTCTCTTTGAAACCCCTGCTCCCCTGGTTTGTCCTCTTCCTTTCCCCCTCTCCTATGCATAGAAGAGTCAGGAACACAGAATTTCAAGGCTGGAAGAGCCTTCGTGATCCATTCTGCAGTGATAATACATCCTCTGATCATGGCAGCGAATACTTACACAGCGCTCAGTGCCAGCACCGTTCTTAGTGCTTCGTGAAAAAGCCATCTCATCTTCACAGCAGCCCTGCAACACAGGGGCTACTGTCACCCGCCTGCAGAAACCAAGGCCCCAGGAAGCCACGTTACTTCATGGGAACTGGTTCCACTTTGGATGTATTATTTGACCATCCCTGAAATCAAGCTGTAAAGATTCATGTATATATTCATTATTTTATTCATCTTTGGGATGCTTCTAAGGACACTGTCATCTCTTGAGGGACTTCTTTCTAAAGTCCATAGGAATTTCTTTTAGAAATTAGTGCTAGGTGTAAAAACTAGTGAAATCTAAATGAGGTCTGTATTTGAGTTAATAGTATTGAACAATGTCAGATTCCTGGTTTGGATCATTGTGGATCATTCGGCAAAGCTGGGTGAAGATAACACGGGAACTGTCTGTACTATTTTTGCAACTTCTTTTGAGTCTTAAATGATTTCAAATGAAAAAGTTATAAATTAAAAAAAAAGTCTAGAAAGAACATTGCTTTCCCTAAAATATCTGGTATGTAACTTTTCTGATGGTAATAATTCTATTGCAGAATAAACCTCCCATTTTACTTTGGCTACCAGGAAACTCAGGGTCAAATTTTAGATTCTCTCTAGAAATACCAAGGCCCTTTTGACCTATGAATGTATGTTCTTTCTCCAGATGTTGACTTTCTACTTGTCAGCTAAAGAAAAATGCACAACCTAAGAGTTGCCAGTTATGTTTTATTTGGGAACCTTACTGAGGACCATAGCCTGGGAGACAGGCTCTCAAATAGCTCTGAGGAACGGCTCCAAAGAGGTAGGGGAGGATATATAGGAGGTTTTGCTGAAAACAAACAAACAAACAAACAGACAAACCATGGAGTTGAACATCAAAAAATAACTGCTAATCACAAAACACAGACATCTCAAGTTAATGATTTTAGTGCTTTTCTAAGTAAGGGAAGATGCAAAAGTCTGGGCTCATTAAAATTATTCCTTAGATAAGTATCTTAAGTATCCTCTTTTTCTGCATCCTGAATCCCCTCAGGGTGCATTGTGGGTGAGGAATGCACTGGCTGTTGGCTTGATGACTACAACGTTCTTTTCTTTTTACTGGAATGGCAGGCGACATTCTTTGTCCGCACACTCTTACTTCTGTTTCCCTACTCTTGACTTTTCAGCCTTATTTTTTCTTTTACCGTTATTTTATGGTACATATTTCTTGAGAGTGACTTTAAATACTTTATGAAAAGAAATAGTGTATAAATACAGAAACAATAAGACAATTGTCACAGCTACCTTATGAGATGTTCATGCGCTTTTTTAATTGTCTAAGATTTCTGTTTTACCATTAAGTTAAAGCACTTAACTAGTATCAATCCCCCACCACGTAGGATTTTGCCCAGAGAGTCACGGGCAGGTTTCCAGAGTGTTGAGAGCTCCAGCTTTGGCTGGGATGCACCCGGCAGAGGGATGTCCAGCTGGTGAGCAGCTCGGGCTGACCCTTCAGGTGGCATCTCCCCCGAGCAGGGCCAGCCTCCTCTGATCATCCCTCTGTGTGCAGTCCCACCAGCACAGATACCTTTAGATGGTGGAAGTTTGAGGTCCTTGAGACAACCCCAATTCAAATGCAAATACTCCTCTGAGGAGGGACCAGTGGTTTCAGCAGCTGCAACCTAGAAAGGAGCACTCTGGAAGTGCATTTTAGGAAAGTGCCTTTTGTGGACAATGTGAGCCACACACTGCTCCATGGATCAGATTGTTATTAGAATTCATTCCACTGTGGATTCGCTCAGAGCTCTCAGCAGACCCGGTGCACAACAAATATAGAGCATCCCATTCACCTGGAGAGGAAAGTGGGACCTGACAGCCTCTGGGCAGAGGCCACACCACACACCACACTGCCCCACAGGTTAAAAGATAAAAGATAAAGAGAGGATTCTAAAGGCAGAAAGAGAAAAACACGAGTTCCTTACAAGGGAACCCCCATAAGGCTGTCAGTTGGTTTCTCTACAGAAACGTTCAGGCCAGAAGGAATGACAAGATATATTCAGAGTCCTTAAGGGGAAAAATCTGCAACCTAGGATACTCTTCCCAGCAATTTTATCATTTAGAATAGAAAGAGAAAGAAAGAATTTCTCAGGCAAGCGAAAGCTAAAAGAATACAGCAATACTAAACCTATCCTAAAGGAAGTATTGAAAGGTCTTCTCTAAATAGAAAAGAATCTATAGGAAAGAGAAAATCACAGTTGGAAAGTAAATCATTTAAATAAGCCAGTACACAGATTTTTTAAAAATTAAAAATTTTCTGTTAAAGCGATCATAACCACAATGAACAGCAAACGAATGAAAATGAAGATGTAAAATCATAAAATCATCAAAATAATAAAATATGAAGGAGAGTAAAGAAATATAGATTTTTTCCCTAGAATGTGTTTGGGTCTATATGACTACCAGTCTAAAGCAATTAGATATAGGGAGATGAGTTAACGTACTTGAAAAGCAGGGTAACCACACATCAAAAATACACAATAAAGTCACAAAAACCAAAAAGAAAATAACATAAGCATAATATGAAGAAAATCATCAAACCAGAAAAGGAAAAAGAAAAAGAAAAAGAGACAAAGGAGAAATTTAAAATCAATGGGAAAACAAGGTTAAAATCGGCAATAAATACATAGCTATGAATAATTACCTTAAATGTCAATGGATTAAATGCTCCAATCAAAAGACACAGAGTCGGGCTTCCCTGGTGGCGCAGTGGTTGAGAATCTGCCTGCTAATGCAGGGGACACGGGTTCGAGCCCTGGTCTCGGAGGATCCCACATGCCGCAGAGCAGCTGGGCCCCTGAGCCACAACTACTGAGCCTGCGCATCTGGAGCCTGTGCTCCACAACAAGAGAGGCCGCGACAGTGAGAGGCTCGCACACCACGATGAAGAGTGGCCCCTGCTTGGCACAACTAGAGAAAGCCCTTGCACAGAAACGAAGACCCAACACAGCAAAAATAAATTAAAAAAAAAAAATGACACAGTCTCGAAAAAAAAAAAGACACAGAGTGGCAGATTGGATTACCAAAAAAAAAAAACAAAACCTACAGTATGCTGCCTGCAAGAGACCCACCTTAGGGCAAAGGACACGCATAGATTGAAATGTTGATTAACATGTATTATGTGTCAGATGCTGTACTAGATTATAGAAATACAAAAATAAAGAAAATAGTGTCCCTACTCCCAAACCGATGATCTTTCATGTTCACAGGACACTTACTATGTACCTCGTCCTGTTTAAGCCTCACAACAGCTCTAAGAGGTTGGTAATATTGTCATTCATTCCCATTTTACAGATTAGGCCAGTCATCTGCCGAGAATGGTGGTAATACCTCTCAACTGCTACGGGAGAGGCATGGGTTAACACTGTAAAGAAGCTCTCGGAACCCGAGTCCTGGGAGATAGTGGACAGCACTTCTGTCCGGGTGTAATGGGTTCTCTTTGTGTGGAAATTCTGAGAAAACCCAGAGAGAGCCGGTGAGTTGGGAGGAGAGCCATTGGCTGAAGAAGCCCCAGCCAGGGCCTGCTCTTCCCCTCAGCGCCCTGCTGCTCTTCCCTGCAGGTGTCTGCAGCAGCATCCCGCAGGCGGCCTGCCCACAGCCAGCGTCATCCTCTGTTTCCACGATGAGGCCTGGTCCACCCTCCTGAGAACCGTGCGTAGCATCCTGGACACAGCGCCCAGGGCCTACCTGAAGGAGATCATCCTGGTGGACGACCTCAGCCAGCAAGGTGCCCGCGGGCTTCCTCCAGGTTCCCTGGGGAGGGCCTGGACCCTGGGGGGTTCCCCTGGCACAGACTGGGGTTTGGAACCTGTGCAGGCAAGGTTCCCCAAAGCAGACCTGCAGATGGGATGCAGGCGCAGGTAACTCATTAGTGAAGAGCCCCAGGGGCACTGCTTCTCTGTGAATACTAAAGACGTATTCTGCTCGTTGAATCCTCAGATGCAGAGCCCTCAGACTCAAAGGGCTGACTACGCTGTCTTTTTAGATAAGGCACTTGAACATCTGCAGATTTTGGTATCTGCGGGGGGTCCTGGAACCAATCCCCTCACCCAGATACTGAGGAACAACTATACATTGTTCTTTCCATCTCCACTAGTTTGCTTATCTGGGTGTACTCAGCATGCCCATACACATAGCATTTCTGATCTTGCATACAAAGCCTAACAAGCTTGTCTCATCCTGTCAACTCTATAGATTGTCATTCCTAAAAGAACGTTTAGACTTTTGGTCTCAATTTCCTACCTCCCATTTTCTCTTCGACCCACTGCATTGCCCAGTCACCGCTACCACTGAAGTGAGACCGCTTTGGCCAGTGCCACCAATGACCTACTGGCAGTCACATGAAATGGACCCTCTGTCTTTGACTTCCTTGACCACTGTGTCTTAGATCAGGTACCCTAGAAGCAGAGCCTGAGATGGGGCATCATGTGCATGTGATTTGGCGGGGGCGGTGCCCTCAGGGGAACACTGTAGGGGAGTGGGGAAAGCAGGAGAGGCAGAGGAAGGAGCTGAACTTAGATGTGGTGTCAGACGAAGTTCAGCCACAGCCTGATCCCAGGGGGAGCTCTGCAGTGTAAAATGCACCTCAGCATCTGTCTTGCCTTGAGGCAAGGGAGCAGGCTTAGTACCCCGGCAATGGCGGGTCATTGACTCTGGCATCTGGGGTGAGGGGTATCATTCTGCATGACTCCCTGCCACTTGCAGGACAGGTGGTTCCTATACTCTAGGGCACATTTCCAGGGAAGGCTGCTGATTGCCGTTAGCAGCCAGCCCACAGCAGCTGGGCACCTGCAAAGCAAACCAGATCAGTAAAAGGGATCTCAGGGCTTCTGAGTAGGGCACCAGCAGTATCTGCTTCAACCTCACTGCTGCATTTAGAGAATGTGAGCGAGTTCTCTCCTCTCTTAGTTTTACGACACCATTTCTTTTGGTGTTTAGTGGAGAGAATCCTGACCCACCGAAACTAACGAAGCATTTTATACCTTCACAACCACCACCATGTACGTGCTGCTCGGGACTCTTGTGCTCACCACAGCTCCCAAGATAGACCTGTTGACAATGATCCTAGTGAGGGTCATCGCGATCTCGTGGGCTGTGGCATCTGTGACCCCACTGTCCTGTTGCTTCCAGGACAGCTCAAGTCGGCTCTCAGCGAGTATGTGGCCCGGCTGGACGGGGTGAAGCTGCTCAGGAGCAACAGGAGGCTGGGCGCCGCCAGGGCCCGGATGCTGGGCGCCGCCAGGGCCACTGGGGACGTGCTGGTCTTCATGGACGCCCACTGCGAGTGCCACCCGGGCTGGCTGGAGCCCCTCCTGGCCAGAATAGCTGGTGACAGGTAACTCATCCCCGGGGGCTGCAGAGCAGGAGATGGGAGAGGGGGAAACAGTCCACAGCCTGAGCCGCTCAGAGAACACCCACCCATCACTGCCTGTGCTGACTGCCAGCTCTAGTGCCCAAGCCAAGGAGTAAGAGTCATGGCCAGAGAAAAAGGAGGGGTCGCACCTGAGCAGCAGAGCTCTGGGAAGAGGGAATTCAGAGTTTTTTGCTTCTCAGTATAAGATACTTCTCACAAACACGGAGAATTTGCGTGAATTTCCAAAATGACTTTATACATTGCAGAGTTCCTGGGGAAAATAAAGAGTGGGTGAGATGAACTAGGGTTCATTGTTCCTTGCAGTAAAAAGTTTGGTTGGTAAGTTTGCAACTGCAGGTAGCTTTTGGCTCTCTGGACAGTGGTGCCTTGGTTGACCTCACGTATTTCAGTTAGCTGGTGTTTGTTGATGGCTCCATTGAAACCCAAACGCTTGACCTCCTGGAGCTTAGAAAGGCTTAAGAGAGGATCGATCTTGTGTCTGCCTGAGAGTTAAAACTCAGTTCACAAGTGACAGGATGATGGAGTGAGCCCTCTCCTAGCTCCTTCCAAGTCAGACAGGGAAGCTTTGCTATTTTGTTTTAAGTCAAGTCCAAGAACACCAGCTACATCTGTAGATTCGAAACACAAAGCTAAATATAAGATTTTTTTTTTAACCACCTTTTTTCGAGTCCCTAGACTGTAGTTACTTCCTAATTCAGCCCTGGTTGGGCATCCGCTATGGTCCATGGTAATGAAAACCAAAACAAGGAAACATCTTTCACTTCATTCATTGACATTTTGTTCTTTATCTCTATCCAAAATGTACTCAAGGAGGCTTATGATGAATCACTTACGTATCTGGCTAAAATAGAAGGGAAAGGAGATTTCAGAAAGGAAAAGATAGTGTTAGAAATCGGGGATAGGGACTTCCCTCGTGGCGCAGTGGTTAAGAACTCGCCTGCCAATGCGGGGACATGGGTTCGAGCCCGGGTCTGGGAAGATCCCACATGTTGTGGGGTAACTAAGCCCGTGCGCCACAACTACTGAGCTTGCTCTCTAGAGCCCCCGAGCCACAGCTACCAAGCCCGTGCGCCACAACTACTGAAGCCCGCACGCCTAGAGCCCGTGCTCCGCAGCAAGAGAAGCCACCGCAATGAGAAGCCCGCGCACCGCAACGAAGAGCAGCCCCCACTCGCCGCAACTCGAGAAAGCCCGTGCGCAGCAACGAAGACCCAACACAGCCAAAAATAAAGAAAGAAAGAAATTTATTTTAAAAAGTAAAACATACAGGGAAATCTGGCAAATTTAAGTTTAAAAAGAAAAGAAAGAAATCAGGGATAATACAGTTATCAGAAGTGAGCTTTACGTATGACTGAGCCTCCAGCAAGACAGAGTAAAAAGAGAAATTCGATGAATTGTAGGGTGATCGTTTTCTGATGGAGAGGGATGTACACCTTTTATCAAGAAGGACACAGCTCAGAGGTCTGGGACGAATTGACTGTGTGGACGCTGGAATGCAGTTTCCTTTCTTGTCCTGTTACCATGACTAAGATGGCACAAACTTGAGGGGGTTCTTTAGAATTCAGCCACACAGCTTCCCTGGCTCTTGAGTCTAAAATTCCACAAAGTGCTTTGCCAGTAGCCAAACACATCTCGATTGCTCAGCTCATTCCACAGTAAGCGGAGACTTGGGATGGTGCCCTCCTTTCCTCCTTGACCTTGCTTCTCACTTTTCTTAGGCCCACGCGAGGGGCCCCAAAATAGTGGAGGCCAGAGAGATTAAGTTCCCCTTACCTTCCAGAGGGAACAATGTGAAAAGTGCAGGAAAAGCATATCAAGATCCTTGCTGTAAATATAAACCCCATGACTCTTCATGCCAAGGCCAGTCACTTGAGGCCGCAGATTAAAGCAGATCGTTGAATCCCAGGACCACCCTGGCCCTCTGCATAAGGGCTGGGCTCGTGCCAGCCCTGACTGTCTCTGAGGTGGATGGAAATTGATGGGAGTATGAACGGCATGGCGGCATCTCTTTTCCAGGAATCTTCCTTTTCTTAGACTGGTAACTTCCAGCACCCCTGAGTTCAGGCCTGATTCATTGCATGGTACGGATTTTAGAAGAAACTATTGTGAGAGGTCAGAAAAAAAATGTGAGTGAGATACTGACTAGGTAGAGGGCAGCTCCTGCTACATCTAAGTGATTTCTTGTTTAATTAAAAGGCAGAGTTTCCAACCTGTACCAATTTCCCATATCACCCTCTCTGAGGTCATGTAATCCCAGGCTGTGCAAAAAAATTGGGATAAAATACAATTACCAGGGCTTCCCTGGTGGCGCAGTGGTTGAGAGTCTGCCTGCCGATGCAGGGGACGTGGGTTCGTGCCCCGGTCCGGGAAGATCCCACATGCCGCGGAGCGGCTGGGCCCGTGAGCCGTGGCCGCTGAGCCTGCACGTCCGGAGCCTGTGCTCCGCAACAGGAGAGGCCACAACAGTGAGAGGCCCGCGTACTGCAAAAAAATAAAAAAAATACAATTACTAAGAGCAACAGTAAATGAGCAAATCAACCTAGACTCACGACTTTGCTGAGAGACGCCACGTACTCATACATACACACACTTCAACAATGAGGACCCTTTGGGGGCTTGACAATCCTGATTCCTCAAGCCAATGAAGTTTTATGATCCGGGGAGGAACAAGCACTAGACCCTAGAGCAGGGGCCCGTGAACCCTCTGCCGCTGTGCATGATATTTTGTATATGTGCCTACGATTATTTTTCTGGGGAGGGGTCCATAGATTTCCCCTGATTCTCAGAGGGATCACAGACTCCCCAAAGAAGAGCCACAGTCCTAGAGCATTACAGCTGGGAAAGACCTTTGTGAGAAGTAGTTCACCCTCCCATTTTATGAATCAGGAAGCTGAGGCCCAGAGAGGTGCAACGGCTATATCTCAAGATCATACAGCTCATTAGTGGCAGAGCTGAGCCTACGTCCCTATTCCCCTGGGTCTGTTTTATCCTGAGAGGTTTTTTGTTTTTGTTTTTTGGGGGTTTTTTTTGCGGTACGTGTGCCTCTCACTGTTGTGGCCTCTCTCCTTGCGGAGCACAGGCTCCGGACGCGCAGGCTCAGCGGCCATGGCTCACGGGCCCAGCCGCTCCGCGGCATGTGGGATCCTCCCAGACCGGGACACGAACACGCGTCCCCTGAATCGGCAGGCGGACTCTCAACCACTGTGCCACCAGGGAAGCCCTATCCTGAGAGGTTTTTAAAGAAAGGGGCAGGCATGCTTTTTAATGAAATAGGCCCCCGATTCCTTATGGAAAAATATATTTTCTAGGAGAGTACTGTTCAGTAGAAATAGAACATGAGCCACAGATATAATTTAAACATTTCTAGTAGTCCCATTACAAAAGAAAAAGAGACAGATGAAATTAATTTTAAGAAAATATTTTAGTAAACCCAATATGTCCAGAATATTATCATTTCGATATGTAATCTGAGATTTGTACATCTTTTTTTTTCAAACTAAGTCTTCTAAATCCAGTGCATATTTTACACTTACACCACATCTCAGTTCGGACAGATGCTATTTTAGGTGCCCAGTAACCGCATGTGGCTGGTAGCTCCCATATTGGGCAGCATGTGTCTGGATTATGTTTCTGTCCCCCAGCAAGTGGAGGGTGTGTATCCCTTATCTGATTCCACGATTCTTTCCAGGAGCAGGGTGGTGTCTCCAGTCCTGGACGTGATTGACTGGAAGACTTTCCAGTATTACCCCTCCAAGGACCTGCAGCGCGGGGTATTGGACTGGAAGCTGGATTTCCACTGGGAGCCTTTGCCGGAGCGAGAGAGGAAGGCCCTCCTGTCCCCCATCAGCCCCATCAGGTGAGGCTCCTTCACTCAGCCTGCTTTGCTTTTACTTTCTCAGGGTGGACTCAGCACCAGACTGCCTGGGCTAATCCCGGTTCTCCTAGTTTCCTAGCAAGTTACTTAATCAGTAAATTGGGAATAGTAACGGTACTTACCTTATAGGGTTGTTGTGAGGTTTGAATGAGCTAATATACGAAAAACATTCAGAAAGTGCCAGACACACAGCTATAGGTGTTAATATTCTTACATTGTTATACGAATGGAGTCCAGCGAAGCTTCCAGATACTGGAGTGGAAAGTGGAAGCACCTTGTCTGGGGCCTCAATCCAGCTCTGTCTTACCAGGTAACACTGGAGTTTCCCTGCCTGGGGTGCTTTCTTGGTAAAAAGGAAGAATTCAGCCGGGTGAATGCTAGGACACCATAAGTCTCAAAATATGTCCAACTTTATGGTTTGCTTCTCACGTGTTTGGTTTTGGGACAACTATTCTATTTAAGTCAATGTTCTAGATACGTTCTGCTTTATAACAAACCATCCAAACTTAAAGGCGTGAAACAGCTGTTTTATTAAGAGCACGGCCTCTGGGCTGTGAATTCTGAAAGGGAGCATCGGCATTGGCTGTCTCTGCTCCACGGCGTCTGGGGCCTCAGCAGGACTCTCCTTTACTAGACTAGACTGGCTGGAAATGACAACAGCTCTGGGCAGGAGTCCCCTGGAGTTTGACGCTGGCCGTCGCTGGGACCCAGCGGCAGCTTCTTCCCTGTTCTCTCCTTGAAGTCACTGAAGGCAGGTTAGTTGGGATTTCCTACACCCCGGCATTGGGTTCGGAGAGCAAGTACCCGAAAGAGCCAGGCAAACCAAGCTGTATCCCCCGACCGATTAAAAAAATAATTTATTGAGGTGAAATTCATATAACATAAAACGAACCATTTCAAAATGAACAATTCAGTAGCATTCAGTACATTCACAATATTGGGCAGCCACCACCTCTTTTTAGTTCCAAAACATTTCCATGATTCCAAAGGAAAATCCCTTACTTAGTGTCTCCAGCTGTCCCCTTTCCCCAGCCTCTGGCAATGCCCAATCTACTGTCTGTCTCTATGGATTTATCAGTTCTGGGTATTTAATATCAATGGAATCGTACAATAGTTAACCTTTATGTGTCTTCTCTCACTTACTGTGATGTCTTAGAGTATGTATCCCCTTTTATAACTGAGTCTCAGAAGTCGCCTAAGGTCACTTCCTCCAAAGTCACAGGCCCACCCATGTCCACAGGAAGGAGACTTGGACCCACCTCTCAGGGGGGGTCAATGTCAATGTCACGTTGTAAGAAAAGCCCTGTGGGATAAGGAGTCTGCCACAGCTGACCTGCCCAGTGCCAAGCAATTACCCAAGTTGTTTCCAAATGCCTAGTCCAGGGACACGAAGTGAAGGCATTAGGCACAAACAGGACTTCCAAGGGTCTGCCCGAGGGTGTGCAACTCTCACAGCTGACATGTGATAAACCATGAGCTTAGATACGCAAAAAATATTTCTTTTTATTTTCTACTAACCGGACTTAGGCAATTTCTGTCTTGACCCCTGCTTCCTAATGGCAGAAACCTTCCAGACAAATTAGACAAATTCAGTGATAGCTTAGTCATCTCATCTTTAAATCTGTCATCCATGCTTGTCCACCCTCCTGTCCCCCTGGGGTTGACTTTGAGCTCCAGGCTTCTGTCAGGGAGGTGGGTGGGGAGGGAGTGCCCCGCCTCAGGCTTTAGCTGTCCTGCATCGGTGTTCACCACGATGCACTTTCACTGGTCGTGGCCTCCGATGCGGGGCTGGCACGCTGTCCCCAATGGCCTGCACCTTCCACGTGGCATCTGCTGAAGTCCCAAATCTTCTCCTGGTCCCCGTAGCACAGCACACGCTGGTGTGCTGATGGGCCAGGGGCCTCCATGGAACTGCACCTACCACCTTCTGCCTGGATCCCCAGGGTACCACCTAGACCCGTCTCCCGGGACCGAAGGTGGTCAGGGGGTTCCTGAACTCCCAGGGCAGCCAGATGGGAGGTGGGCAACATGCCCCCTGCTCTCTGATTCCCAAACAACAAGCACGGGATCCTCTTCTTCCAGGAGTTAACCCCGAAGATGTAAAGGTGGACACGAGGTCCTTCTCAGGGATCTACCTGCATCTTTGTCTCTTGGTCTCCCCACGGGCTCTCTCTTCTCTCCTCAGGGTGGAGGATATTATCTAGTTTGGACATAGAAAATACTGGCTCTGTGAGGATGATCCCTTATCTTAGGCATAGGCAGCGGCTTTGTCATTCAAACTTCAAAGCTCAGAGTCTGGTGCCTTCGTTCTTGGCTGTTGGGCCATGTTGTAGTCAGCTCCGTGGTCATAAGAAAATACTGCATGTTGGGTGGCTTAACCCACATTAAATTTATTTTCTCACAGTCCTGGAGGGTAGAAGCCCAAGATCAAGTTTCTGGCCAATTTGGTTTTTGGTGAGACTTCTCTTCCTGACTTGCACACAGCCACCTCTCCCTGTGTCCCCACATGACAGAGAGGGGGCCCTGGGGTCTCTTCCTCTTCTAAGGGCACCGAGTCTATCAGATCAAGGCTCCCCCCTTATGACCTCGTGTATCCTTAATTCCTTCCTCAGAGGCCCCATCTGCAAATACAATATACGCTGGGAGATAGGGCTTTGCCATGTGAATTTGGGAGGGACACATACATTCAGTCTGTAACAGGCCAATACCAACCTTGGGCCTTGTATACCCAATGGGGAAGTTTCATGGTATTAAGATGTAACTATGAGGGGTCAGGGTGCAGAGCCAGATAGATTTCACCTCCTTCCATCATAGGTATGAATCCTGAAAGTGCAGAGAGCTCTGAATGCTTCCTAATCTCTTTACTGGTCCATCAGCCTCTTCTGAGCACCTGTTTCATGCCAGACACTCTAAGGGCTGTGGACACAAAGAACTGAAAGAGAAGTTTCCAGACCTCTTCGATTTATGGTGTGGGGAGGGTAGTAGATCGGTGAGCAGTATGAGGGGTACCGGACAGAGGGGCCCACAGGGAGTTAAGAGAGGTGCTCGCTTGAGGGAACAATTTATTCTGCTCCTGCCGAAGCAAAGGGATTCTATTGAAGAGAACAGACTTCTCAGAGAAACTTTCCCCAACCTGAGGCAAAGGCACTTTGACCCCAGGCATCAATCCTCTCTGGAACCTTCTTCTAAGCTTCAGGGCCTCTCTGATGGCCAAGGTCACTGTAGGTCACCTTGACCTACCATCGGCCAAAGTCAGCACCAGAGAGAGCCCAGCCACCTTTGCCCTCAGCAGCCGGTCCTTCCCTGAGACCCGGCTGCTACTTGGGCCCCCACGGAGGCCTCAGGCTCCCTATCCAGGGCCCAGATCCCTCCTCACACACATTCATACTTTTCTACCCATGTCTTCCCCACCCTGAATACTCTGACTTCATGGCTTCCCTCATCAGTCTGGTGAGAGAGCACGAAATGAGGAATTAGGACAAGGTTTGGTACAGACTCTATACAGATGCTAAGAAAATTCGAGAAAGGGTATCATCATTTGTATACTTGCAAATGATAGTATTAAGGAATATTTACTGAACATATATTATGTGCTTAGCTAATGCTGTAAACATAGTATATATATTAACTCAAACCTTACCATAATTCTGTAAAGCAGTTATTGTTACTAATTACTGTTATTAATCCCATTTTACACGTGTGAAAAGTGAGGTATATAGACAGTAAATTACAGATGAGAACCCCAGAGGTTGCCCAGTTCCATAAGATTGTTAAGAGGTAGATCCAGGGTTAAAACCCTTATGGCCTGGGGCTTCCCTGGTGGCGCAGTGGTTGAGAGTCCGCCTGCCGATGCAGGGGACGTGGGTTCGTGCCCCGGTCCGGGAAGATCCCACGTGTCACGGAGCGGCTGGGCCCGTGAGCCATGGCCACTGAGCCTGCGCGTCCGGAGCCTGTGCTCCGCAACGGGAGAGGCCACAACAGTGAGAGGCCCGCGTACTGCAAAAAAACCCCCCAAAACCCAAAAAAACCCTTATGGCCAGCCTCCTGACACAACACTCTTCACGGCTCTGATCTGCTGTGTTTTTTTGTTTTGTTTTTAAATTTATTTACTTGTTTATTTTTGGTTGCGTTGGTCTTCTTTGCTGTGTGTAGGCTTTCTCTAGTTGTGGCAAGCAGGGGCTACTCTTTGTTGTGGTGCGTGGGCTTCTCATTGTGGTGGCTTCTCTTGTTGCGGAGCACAGGCTCTAGTCACACCGGCTTCAGTAGTTGCAGTGCATGGGCTCAGTAGTTGTGGCTTACGGGCTCTAGAGCACAGGCTCAGTAGTTGTGGCACACGAGCTTTGTTGCTCCACAGCATGTGGGATCTTCCTGGACTAGGGCTCGAACCCGTGTCCCCTGCATTGGCAGGTGTATTCTTAACCACTACGCCACCAGGGAAGTCCCCTCTGCTGTGTTTTAAATACAAGTTTTAAATACAGTCTGTCATCCCCAGATACCCATGTCAGTTCAGGACATGGTTTACTGCCAGATGCATCACGAAAAAGCACTTGATTTTCAGAGATCTTTGGATTTTGGCATGCACATGTGCTTTACATGACATTTCTTTTAATCCCCACAAAACCCTATCATGAAACACTATTACTGTACCCGATTAGAGGTAAGGAAATTGAGACCAGACAGGTTATCTGTATCATCCAAGATCTTACAAATTGTGAGTGGTAGAATTGGAAATTGTATCAAGTAATAACTACACTACTGGTTTTTAGTATTGTGGTATAACTTAGTATTTTTAATAACCTAAAGGTCAGTAGTTTTGTTAATGTAAGACTATTTTCTTAGTAATTAAAAAAAAAATCTGAACTCTGAGTCATTCACTCCTTGAGATATACCCAGAGTTTGGCTGCATTAAAATTTGTTCTCATATGGAGGTTCCTTAAAAAACTAAAAATAAAATTACCGTATGACCCAGCAATCCCACTACTGGGCATATACCCAGAGAAGACCATAGTTCAAAAAGACACACGTGCCCCAATGTTCATTGCAGCACTATTTACAATAGCCAGGTCACGGAAGCAACCTAAATGCCCATCGACAGACGAATGGATAAAGAAGATGTGGTACATATATACAGTGGAGTATTACTCAGCCATAAAAAGGAACGAAATTGGGTCATTTGTAGAGATCTGGATGGATCTAGAGACTGTCATACAGAGTGAAGTAAGTCAGAAAGAGAAAAACAAGTATCGTATATTAACGCATATATGTGGAACCTGGAAAAATGGTACAGATGAACCCGTTTGCAGGGCAGAAATGGAGACACAGATGTAGAGAACAAATGTATGGACACCAAGGGGGGAAAGTGGTGGGGAGGCAGGGGGTGGTGTGATGGATTGGGAGATTGGGATTGACATGTATACACTAATATGTATAAAATGGATAACTAATAAGAACCTGCTGTATAAAAAAATTTTTTAAATAAAATTTTTTAAAAAACCAAAAAAACCCCCAAAAACAACAGCAATGAAAATTTGTTCTCTTTTGAATAAAGAGATCGTGGTTCAAAAGCCTCTGGCTCCATCCTCCCCAGTTAAACCCTTCTGAGGGATGCTGTTGCCATCTTCATTCCCTCACTCGGGATTCCAGCTTTCTGTGTTTTTAAGTCATGTGTATTTCCCCCGGAGCAGATGGGGACCTATCTACTTCCAGAGTCTCTGGGGGATTCATCTTAGAATTGGAGAGGGGGTGAATGGTCACGAAGCAAACAAGAGGGTGAGATCAGGGGTGAGGGAAGAAAGAGGACTGCCGGTTCCCTTGGTCCATTAGTGCTGCCGGCCTTAGGGCATCTTATTTAACCAAGGTCTCCTTCCCAAAATCTTGCCAGAGGGGCCTCTTCCTAAAGGAGCAGTACCGGAGGATGGGGTATAAAAGGCCCAGGCAATCTCTTTTTTTTTTTTTTTTTTTTTTTT